TATTTCCCTCATTTTTCTTTCCCTCACCTAAACCGAAGGAATGGGTGAGAAGATTCCCTAATTTTTTTAAAATAAAATTAATTGATTTTTATGATTTATAATTTTTAAATTAATAACAACCAAAAATTTTAATTAAAAATAAAATGCATTTCGTTAATTAAAATAAAAATTACAATAAACCTCAAATTTAAAAAAGTAGAAAAATTATAAATAAATAAAAAAAAACACAAACAAAAAATCAAACAAATCAACGACAACCTATGAAAAATATTTTTTCATAATTTTTTCCCTCTTCTTTATCACGAGCTCAAGAGATGGCCGATGTTTTCCATCAACAACTTCATATCCTCCATTTCTTGTCTCTTCGCGCGCTCCTTCTTCCTTGCTTCTTATTTTTCTTTGTCGAACGTCAAACGTTCGGAGAAATCAATATTATATTGATCAAACGACGCTGCTATTTTCCGCATTTCGTCAACGTCTATGTTGAAATCCGATGCACCCGAAGAAGTCCATTTTCCCTTCCTCTTTGCTTTGTCTATACCCATCGGGCGGACAATTTCTTCTAACTCGAGTTCGTTATCATGATTTAAATATAGGCCGACCTGAGCATCAGAGGAAGTTATGTAACCACTAGAGCCCGTTTTCGTTTGCTTTGATTATTGTACTCCAAAAATAAAATTTCGCTCGTATTTTTTCCACCTAGGACATTTGACCAATAAATTTCCAACAATCGTGCCACTTGAATGGTTTTTCGACTTTCTCAAGGTAAAATTGCAAAGCTTCTTGAAGTATTTCTTCGTCGCCTTAGCCGTTTTTTCGTTGGGTTTTTAGGTTACCCGTTTATTTTTGAAACCCCATTTGCTATTTCTCGAAACTTCGAATTCAGTTGGTGTTTCGTATGGTAGTCGTCATCTTTTTCTTGCTCCTCCCGAAACCATTCTAAAATGCGAAACCAAAAACGCTCTCATGGTTGTGCATTTCCCATCTTCAAATCCTCAGAAATGTCAACCCAAACTTTTACAATAGCTCTTCTTGTGGAAACCATGATGTCGGCTTTTGTCTTCCCGGTTGTGCAATACCCTCGCGCACTTGTTTTTCCCTTTACGTCATTGTGGGGGTGGTGTGGGTTGAGTTTCGGGAACCATCTCTTCTTCTTACGAGTCATCAAACTCATCGACAAGTTGGAATTGTTGTTGGGTTTGGGTTTGAGGTTGATTTGGCGAATGTTGATCGGGAAAACAACAAAGTTTGAAAACATTTGTAGAGTAACATTTGGAACTTGGACCGAATAATATTGTCTAACATTTTGGTATTGAAATTGTAGTGGAGATTAAATGGGAGCATCGAGTTGGAGACGATAAACTCCTTGTGATGATGAATCAATAGCAAAAATGTTTCAAGTATGGGTGCTTAAACTCGAAACATGAGTTTTTTTCCTTCTATCGGAAGTTTGGGTTTGGTTGTCGGGATTGGGTTTTTTTTTTTTTGAAGAAGAAGAAAATAGATATCGTAGAGGATTTGTTTGAAAGTTTGATTGAAGGTAAATAAATATGAGTATTTATAGATGTTTTAAAGGGTAAAAAAAATAGATTTAAATGCTTATAGCCGTTGGTGTGTATATATATATATATATATATATATATATATATATATATATATAGGGTTGAGTTCATGTGACACAATGATATTTTGTGAGACATGGGGACAGAATCTGAACCACTAATCTATAATAATCTATGGGTAGAATTAACTGAAATTAAAACAATAGAGGCGGTGGCAATTTTGCAGTTTGATCAAACTTCAGGATTAGAGGAAGGATACGGAGGGGTAGTTTTGACAATATACCTTTTATCCGTCAAAATAATCCACCGTCATTCAATATCTATTCATGTTACATCTTGCTTCCTCCAAAAAAAACCCTCTTCACAGAAACTCAAATTTTATCTCGATTCAGATTTGTGCATTCAAAACCCTAGAAACCGATTCATAATCTTTCATCTCTTTCTAAATTCAAAAATTTGTTTTTGATTTTAATATGGCTTGCACTTCACCATGATAAACACGTTGAAACAATCAGGGAAATGCCTCATTCTACAGAAGCATATTATGATTATACACTACTTCACTTCGCAAAACATGTATTAATTCAAGCCTTTATAGTTCAGATTGTGTAATTAACCTGCTAAATAATTCTTGTTCTACATATTCTAATTTGGAAAACCCTAGTCGGTCAAATCAAAACCCTAGATCGTATCCACATTTTTAGCCATTCTCCAAATCAACTCAATGTTTCTCAAAAGAGTTAATTTCGCTAAGTTTGTGTCTTCTATGAGATTTCTTCTCATTCTGATTCTACTTTGCACCGATCTTCCATAACCCCCAATAAAACCCTAAAAATCGATTTTGATTCACTGTCATTTTGATTTTAAACGTTTTTAATTCATATTCTGATCTTGAATCATGGTTCTGACAATCCTTCAACTGTTACTTCTTCTCATGATTCGTAGTTGAGGAAGGATTCTTCTCATCAGGTAATAAATGATTCCATTAACTCATTTTGGCTGTTAACAATTTCAATGTTAATAAATCTACAATCCAAGCTATGTTATTATGCATAAATAAAGTTATTCACAAAATCTGTAGAGATATTCTTGGAATTTGAATTATAATTTGATTTAATATCTTAGTTTGTTTGGTTTATCTTATTAGTTTCATACTTCTAGTGTCAGTTAGGTGTTTGGTAAATTTAGTGATCGCCCGCTAGGTGTTCGACATAATGCACTCTGTATTGATTTCATATTTTCTGCAATAAAATTGTTATTGAAAATGATAGAATGTTATGCAAACATAACTTGCTTCATAAATTGATTTTATATGTTATTTTGTTTGACTATTTGGATTATGTAGTAAATATTTAGTGAAATGTTATTTGATAATTTGATATTATAGGTATTCTAGTTTGATAAGTAATATGTTACTTCTTAATTTGACTCAGATGTTACTTTGTTTGATAAGTTAGATGATCCAGTAAAAATATTAGTAAAATAGTCTTTGGTAACTTAATATTCTAGGTATTATGATTTGTAAAGTTAGGTGTTACTTCATAAATTTGATTTGAGATGTTATTTTATTGATTAACCGGATGTTACTGCTTACTCTGATAAGTCAAAACTAAAATACATTTTGAGAATTTGTTATTCTATCCTGACATAATTGAATTCATCTATTTATGTTTTAGTTTGATAATATTATATTCAGATTTAGATTCTACATAATGTAGATTCTAAATCATCTCTTGTAATAGGCTTTAGGAAGTTGTTAAATAATTTATTCTAATTAAGGAATTACTTTTCTAAAATTTATATTGTAGCTATGGTTAGTGTTTAATGCAGATTCACTATAGCTTGGGCTAGAAATGAACTTCTTTATTGTAGTTTCAGTTAAATACTTTTGAAATTATTTACTGTAGCTAGGATTAGTGTTTGATACACATTGAAAGCTAATGAAATTTATTTTGATGTGTTCTTAATGCGATTCTGATGTGTTCTTAATGCGACAGATGGAAATTTATTCTGGAACAATAAGTGGAAATGTGAAATAATGACTTGGGTAAAGAAGGTTTATTGCAGAATAAGAAGCATACAAAATAGTTATGCTTTGACCAATCAGACTCCAATTCCATAAGAAAGTAACTGACAAAGCAAAGGAATAAGGAAGGGTTGATAAGGATGGTCATTAAAAATGATGAAGGAATGGATCAATGCAAGAAACATACTGGAAGGACGTGAATAATTTTTTTAGAATATTTGAAAGTCTTTGATTATGAATGACATAGTAGTGTTTTGTTCGTTTAAATATTGGTTATCTTTTTTTAGTTTTGAACAATAGCTATGGTTGTTTCAATGGCCAGTGAATGTTTCACAAAATAATAGTACTGGTTAAAAAATAGTTATGCTTTGACCAATCTGAAATATCATACATTTTATGATCAAATGTTTATTTTTTGTTATAGTTCATGTACAATATTCTAATAGAGTAATGTTATAGGTTTTCTGTGCATTTATAATATTCTATTAGAATAATGTTAATATTCTAATAGAATAATTTTATAGGTTGTATTTTCATGTATAATAATTTTATGTGAATAATATTCTATGTTTTAAAATATTATAATATTAGAATATTACATATATTATATTTTTATGAATACTGAAATATTAGAATATTTTACTAGAGAAAAGTGGTCTCGTGGTCTTACTGTCTCAAAAAAAATTGACATTTCGAACATTCTATTAGAATAATGTTAAATTTTGTTGGTTTTTATAGATTTATATGTAATGAACTTTTTACAAAAAAAATGATATTATAATTTATAAATATATGTAATGTTAATAAGACTTAATTATTATGTATATGTAGAATATTCTGATAGAATAATTTTATAGGTTGTATGTTCATATATAATAATAATTTTGGAATATTGTTCATGTATAATAATTCTTTTGGAGTTTGGAAAATGTGATCAAACAAAACATCTTAACTTGGAGCAAAAAGGGAAGAAATGGAATGACGATTGTTGAATTGATAAAATATTTAGCAGTGTTTAATAGTTAATAAATATAGATTATCCTTTTTTTTAATTGCAGCTATGTTTTCTATATTTTAAACAACATGAACAATTGAATCTTTGCTAAACAGTAGTTATGGTCTGAAGGTTTAAAGATTGGTGAATGTTTAATAAAATGATATTATGGTTCAAGAACGGTTATGCTATAAATAATAATACATGAAATTTGTAGTTAATGTCGTATAATGTTAGTAATATCTTTCACATACTAGATAAGCTTAAAATTAAAGTCTGTATGTACAATATTATAGTAAAATAATATTATATGTTTGTCATTATAAAAAGGAGATGTATGTTATTCTAATAGAATAATGGTATGTGTTATTTGCTATAAAAAATTATAGGCTAACTGCAAACATGTATAAAATTAGAATATTCTAAAAGAATAAAATATGTTGTATGTACATATAGAATATTTTTACAAAATAATGTTATAGTTTGATCGGTAACAATGCACCAAAAACCATAAAAAATATTACATTTTTGTGACATATAAAATCTATTACATATTTATTAATCTTTAACTCTTGTAGTTGAAAATTTATAGCTTGAAATATTCAAGTTCCTTTCAAGTTGAGTTTCATCAGTTACAACTATCTGCAACCATAAATGAAATAATTATTAGAATCAAGTATGGATACAATCAAAGATCTGAAAATGAAGTCTATGAGTGATTATACATCATAATAATGTATTATGTAATGTAATTGATCATACAAGACACAATATAAACACTGAAAAAAAATACTCTGAATTTAATAATCTTTCTTAGTACATCCCCTTACTGCACATTAATAAGAATAATAAACATTGCTAAAAGAGACATCCAACCTTTTGTGTTTGATGGAAAAAAATTAATTAAAAAAAAAAAAAAAAAAAAAAAAAAACTATAATAATGATCATATTCTAAAAACATCTGATGTATATCATGCACCTGAATTTACATATTGTAAATTTAAGAGCATATAGTCTTCTTTAGCACAATCCTTTTCTGCAACATAAGAAGAGCATATTCAAACCAAACTATGCTAAAAAGACATCTCCAGTATTTTTATGTTTGACAAAAAAAACATGTTTTAACGTAACTATGGTAAATATAATAAAAGTAGTTAACATTACATTGTTTTATACCAATTGTGACTCATATTTTAAGAAGTATACTCCAATTCTTAAAGAAGACATTAGTCGTGGGCAAGAGGAATGATGCATCAAACTCTTTGTTCATTCAGGATTTTCATCAAACACATAGAGTGCATGTATAGTTTAAGAGAATTTGCTAGAGAAGAGTAACTGTTTTGTATATACATTATTAGATTGAAAATTTAAGATCTAGGAGTAAAAATCAAAGCTTAAAGGGCTGAAAATCGATCTCGATTTGATGACGATAATGATGAATAGTCGAAAGAGCTTACCAAGAAGCAAAATCGAAGCTTGAAAATACTGAAAGCGGTATGAATCTTATGATCAATTGCTAACATCGGTTTATGTAACTTGATGAAAGCGTATTTCGGTGAAAAATCTATTTCAATCTGGCTTTGAAGTTGAAAATCATCAAATGAAGGGGATAAGATCTGATTCCGAAAAAACCTCCAATTGCTGAAAACGATTTCAATCGAAGATATCAATTGATGATCAGTTGCTCGTGAAAGCTTGAAATCGATGTGAACTCCTGATCAGTTGTTGAAATCTCTTCCAATAAGCCTGTAACATCACAAATCATCGTAGCGTGAGTGACAATTAACGTACAAAACTCAAGTTTTTTGCTTCTCATTCAATCAAAATATTGTTGCGATTGAGAAAACCGTATGAGGAAATCAACGGATGAAAGAGCGAATCTGATTTTGTTACGTTGATTAAGAAAAGATCATGTAAATCAGGGGATTTCATTATATGATTAAAAGCTGACTAATCTACCATTGAGTGTTTAATTAAGCGCTTTAATCAGGGTTTTTTTTAACCACAAGATCAAATTTGATCAATGACTAAGATTTGGTCCCTTTATCTCACAAAATATAGGTGGTCTCAAATGAACCTATATATATATATATATATATATATATATATATATATATATATATATATATATATATATATATATATATATATATATATATATATATATATATATATATATATATGCACCAACCATCATTTACAAGTTGGTGTTTGTCCTTTGTTGTTCGTTCTTTTTGCATCTTCATGAAGTTTTGGTATTCTTCTCAGTTTTCATGAATTCTTTTCATTAAGTAACATAACACGTTTGAGTATAATGGAGATAGAGTTGGCAAGAAAAAACTAAAATCACCATGGGCGGCTTAAGAAACACACATTGAATACACTCCATGTCTTATTCACATAGATTATAGATAGAAAGAGAAAACTCGCTGGACAAGAAAGAGTGACGTAGGTCTGCCATTGGAGAACATGGACCAACATTACTCAATTTAATTCCTTTTACTTTTATCCCTAATTGCAGGAACAACAAGCAATGCGACGACAGTGACAAAGAAACCAGCTCCAAACCCAGTCAACACAGGCAAAATAATGGCAAAGTCTTCCTGGTTGTTCTCGGATGCCACAGGAGTTTGCAAAGGGACTTGAATTTTGTCACAGTTGATGAAAAAATCGCCACATAAACCAGAGTTTCCTTCAAAGGTGGAGTTTGTAAACGTTGGAAATTGACCTCCAGAAGGAATCGTTCCCGTTAGATTATTGTATGCAACGCTGAATTTGGACAAAAAACTTAAGCTCACCAGAGACGTAGGGATTGTTCCTGTGAGACTGTTAAAAGAAAGATCCAGCGTCTCTATGCTCCTCATACCTGATAAAGAACCGGGAATCGTACCTGATAAACTGTTGTGTTTCAGATCCAAAACATGTAGCTTTTTTAAGTTCCCAAACTCCCGCCAGATTGGGCCAGTGAGGTGGTTGTAACTGAGGTCTAAAAGCGGTGGAAATCTCATGATCTGATTGTACTGCGCTATTGATCCTCTGGCGCTCATGTTCCGTATTTTAAACAACGGGAAACTTGGTGACGGATCGTTTAATGACATATCTCTTGAAATCAGGCTTTCTAATCGTGTTAGATTCTTGGGTATCTCTCCTGAAAAGGAATTGTTGGATAGGTCCAAGTAAAAGAGAGACTTGAAATTACCCAAATACCCCGGGATCGATCCTGTCATGTGGTTCCAAGAAAAATCCAGCAACTGCAACTGCGTTAAACCCTTTAGCCATGGTGGAATGCTACCAGTGAGATTGGAATTGGCAATCACTAGAGCTGTGAGTGATTTGAACTGTAGATCATCATCAGGTGGCAGCTGTTCGTTATAGAAGTTCATAGTAAGAACCAAAACAGATAGATTGGGGCAGTGCTGGAGAACTTTAAGAGCTGTTGACAGGTTACTGAGGCTACAATTGGAAAGTGAAAGGTAAGAAAGAGAAGGGAAATTCTTGAAAGTTTGTGGGATTTGGCCTTTGAGTATGGGGTTCCTGGCAAGATGTAAAGCTTTTAACTTTTGGCAAGATGAAAGAGCATCAGGTATTGTACCCGAAAAGTTATTAGTAGCCAGATCAAGTGAGGTAAGGTTAACCATGGCGGAGCAGTTGAAATTGATTTTACCATCCAAAGAATTGTTTCTCAAGCTGAGGGAAGAAATGGAGGGTGAATGTGACAATGATGGAGGTATCCCACCAAACAGATTGTTGGAATGAGCTGAGAAATAACTTAATTTCGGAAACCTATGGAAGAAATCGGGTATATTTCTTGAGAACCTGTTGGATGAAATATCCAAACGAACCAGATGACTAGTGGAATTACCAATTCCCTCGATGTCGGTGAACCTGTTATCATGTAGTGCCAATTCCACCAACTTAGGTAACGTGAATAAGAACTTGGGTATGACGCCTGAAAGATAATTGGAAGCCACGTCCAGATGTTCAAGGAAATTGCAATTCCCAAATTCAAGCGGAATAGTTCCATTGAAATAATTCGCAGCAAATATAAGAACATGAACTCTGGTGGAGTTAACACATAAACCGGATGGAAGTGAATCCTCAAAGGCATTATCAGATACGTCTAATACTTGAAGTGAAGGCAGGTTTATGTTAAGTGGTAAAACCCCATTGAATCTATTACCACTTAAATCAACTACTTCCAAATGGGGGAGAAGAAATAAGGAAACGGGAAGAAGGCCTTTAAGAAAATTGTGTGAAAGATTCAGTGTCCGGAGATGATTTAAATTAGAAAATGAATCGGAGACACTCCCTGTCAATACGTGATTCGGGAGTTCTAATCTAACAATCCTACCAGAAGTGGAATTACAATTGATACCGACCCAGTTGCAGCAACTGGAAGACGAAAAAGATGATGAAACTTTTGGCCACCACCCATCAATTGGCGATTCCAGTCCATTCATGAAATCCCGTAATCCTCTCACATCATCAGAATTGCATGTCAGATTCTGTGAACTCAAAAGAACCCGACTTTGAAGAGAAACTGCAACAATAATGACAAGTACCCACATCTCCAATAAAACGACCATCTCGGATTATATGGACTGAACAAGAACACCAACACCGATAGGAACAAAAGTGATCAAACTTCAGGGTTTAGAGAGAAACCCCATTTGAGAGATGGGGTTTTCTTTCAAAGGTCCATAGTGTTATCCAAAAGATGAAGAAATTTAAGTTTACAGAGTATATAAGAAGGAGATGCTTGCAAACACAGCCACACAGATCGAGAGAAGAATTAGACTAAACTTCATTGACGTGACATGGCTTGTTTGGGCATTCTCTTGCTCTCTGGCTCTTTTATGCTTTAGCCAGCAAAGCATGTCAACGCGTGTTAGTATAAGACAACCGTCAACTGTTTGCCGTATAATTAGGGGACAAAATTACATGAATGGTGCTCATGATAAAATCGATTAATTATGGTCTTTATGACGAATTCTTTTTATAGATGGTGCTTTTGGTTTTAGAATCTTGCAAAAACGGTCCTTTTGACTAACGGCTTTAACTTTTTCAGTTAAGTCCTATGTGAAATGACATATTTGCCCTTCATGCATAAGAACGTTTTATGTAATATGTTTCTACCACAGGAACTATTTATGTAATTTTCTCTATTATTTATTACTTTTTTATTTATTTTAATTATATATTTAAGGATTTAGATTTGTTTAAGTTTATTGTTTAATATATATATATATATATATATATATATATATATATATATATATATATATATATGCTAATATTTTTTAACGTTTTGCTCAAATTATTTTATCTAATCTTTTTGATATATATATATATATATATATATATATATATATATATATATATATATATTATATATATATATATATATATATATATATGTGCTAACATTTTTTAACCTTTTGCTCAAATTATTTTTTTTAATCTTTTTGACATTTTCTTCAAGTAAATTTATTAATGTTTTTTATTTTGATGTTTTATTCGAATATTATTATTTTTTTTTTGGCGTTATGAATACATTTTTCAACTATATAAGGTTGTATAATTATTATTTTTGTAAACTAATTTACTAACATTTTTTTGTAAAAAAGTGTAAAATGTTTGTTAAACATGAATATGATTAATATAGATTAGGTAGACATAAGCTAAACTGAGACCGCCTCACAACGTTGCCGAGAACGATCAGGTCATTTCACATTGGATTTAAATGTAATTATTTCAAGCTATTTTCTATTTTTTGTTTTTAGCAGTGTTGTAAAAAATCACAACGCAAGATCCTCTAATCGGTCAGGTAGCGCTTAGGGATTAATTTGAGATTAATCGGAACCAAGTTGTGATTTTTTACAACACTGCTATAAACAAAAAAAATTAACTTGAAATAATTACATTTAAATCCAATGTGAAATGACTCGGTCGTTCTCGGCAATGTTGTGAGGCGGTCTCAGCGTAGCCTATGTCTACCTAATCTATATTAATCATATTAACGTTTAACAAACATTTTACACTTTTTTATAAAAAATGTTAATAAATTAGTTTACAAAAATAATAATTATACAACCTTATATAGTTAAATATCTGAATTAAAAAATAATAATTATATAACCTGATTAAAGAAAAAAAAAATGAAAACATAGGTGAAAGTGAATTAAGTTACGAATTATAATTGCAATAGTCGTGAAATCCTTTAACAAATATAAACATACTATATGTTGAAAAATGTATTCGAACATAACGTCAAAAATAAATAAATAATATTCGAATAAAACATCAAAATAAAAAACATTAATAAATTTACTTGAAGAAAATGTCAAAATGATTAGAAAAAATAATTTGAGCAAAACTTTGAAAATGTTAGCATGCATGTGTGTGTGTGTATATATATATATATATATATATATATATATATATATATATATATATATATATATATTAAACAATAAATTTAAACAAATCTAAATACTTAAATATATATAATTAAAATAAATAAAAAAATAATAAATAATAGAAAAAATTACATAAATGGTCCATGTGGTAGAAACATATTACATAAAACGTCCTTATGCATGAAGGGCAAATACGTCATTTCACATAGGACTTAACTGAAAAAGTTAACGCCGTTAGTCAAAATGACCATTTTTGCAAGATTTAGAAACCACAGGGACCATCTGTGTAAAGAATTCGTCATAAGGATCATAATTGGTCTATTTTATCAATCATGAAGACCATTTATGTAATTTTGTCTAATTAGGGGATTCTATTAGAGTATAGAAACAGATTGGCTGAGTTGGCACACGAAAACAGTGTTACAACGCGGGGAACACCGTCCCCCAACTTGAAGAAGCTCGTTATGTTGGATGTTATGGTAACGAAGACGAGAAAAAACAAGAAAGATAATTGGTTATCTTCTTCATCAACTAATAAAATAACTTTCTCTATTTTCTCTCTCTACCTCTTAACATGATACAACATGTTAATATAAGTTCTAACGTTTTGTTCGAAATTTTGGAACAACTCAATCTTCCGGCAAACGTTGACTTGCTTTGCTGGCTAAAGCATAAAAGAGCCATACTGTAAGAGAATATGCCCAAACAAGCCACGTCACGTCACTGAAGCTCAGTCTAGTTCTTCTCTCGACCTGTGTAGCTGTAGGGCTGGCAATTCTCGACACGACACGCGACACGATCCGCGACACGACACGAAATAAATGGGCTTGGGTTGAGTTTTTCAACCCGCCAACCCGTTTATTAAACGGGTCATATATGGGTTTCTCAAAAAATAAACGGGATGACCCGCCAACCCGTTTATATTCTTAATAAAAAAATTATTTTATTTTTAAATGTATTTATGTATCAAGTATTAATATTTAATAAGTATTATAAATATATACTATTGATTCATAGATCATTTGATTGTTTTGACATTTTGACTCGTGATGGATGATCTAAGGTCATAAGTCGTAACCTATAAGGCTAAGTTTGTAACATGTTTCTATGAATGTTTTAATTTTCATTTGGATGTTTAAGACTTAAATGTCTAAAATTCGGATCCACGAACACGCCAACCTATGAACACGTATAAATAAATGGGTTGACGGGTAATATATGAGTTCATGTTCCAAACCCGTCAACCCGTGACCTGTATATTTAAATGGATTGTGTTTGGGTTGATATATTTTGACCCGCCAACTCACGACACGCCAATCCGAACACGATACAATTGTCGGACCTACAAAACGTGAAGAGGGAGATTCAAATTGAGACATTAAGTATCCTCCTATATTCTCTTACGGCCACCAAAGTCTCAACTTTGAAATGTTTAACGCGTGTTCCTGTGTTAGTCCACAACAACCTTCAATTATTTGCCATATACTTACATACTTACCAATTTTCCATACAACCCCTTAAACTTCCACAAAGATATTAAACCACACCCTTATTTTTTAAAATTTTTTATCTTGCCTTTATTATTTGTCCGATTTATTAATAATATTTTATAAATATTTTATATATATATATATATATATATATATATATGTTTAAACAAAAACAATTAGACAATTTAAAACATAAGAATAATTCTCAGCCAATCGACATCATTTAAAAGAGTGTTTCGTATAGTTAAGTTTCCAAAAGTATTTCTATAACTTTGTCGCTTATAAGCATTATTGGGACTTCGTCGATTATGTTTTGGCTCAAACGAACTTTGGATGTAAATGGAGAGGTTGGATCAAAGTTATGTTAGTTTCCAGTTGTGCCTCGATCGTTGTGAATGGCTCCGTGACAATCGAACTCTCTCTTTCAGAAACAGTTAGTCAAGGAGACCCACTCTCACCCTTTTTATTCATATTGACTATGGAAAATATATATGTCCTCATGTGATAGGTTAAAGAGAACATTTTTATTTCATGGTCTTGTCTTTCCTAATGGGTCCCGTTTTATCCCACTTGTGTATGTGGATGATGTGTTGTTTATTGAAAAATGGTTCTAAATTAATTTCTTTAATCCTAAAAGGCTTTTTCATTGATTTTATCTTGCATCCGGTTTAAAGATAAACTTTAACAACAACAAAATGTCAAGTCCCATAAGGATAGGGTAAGAGGGGATGTAAAATGATTGGCAACCTTAGTTGTTTCCAAATAAGACCTCCGTTCCAAATAAGACCTCCCACTGAAAAAAAAAATGGTTAGACAATATTGCTTGAAAAGATAGATAGATTCCCATCATCCAATCAGATAAAAATTGCTTGTTTTCTCATAGGCTAATTGTGTGTGCCCAAAATATTGTCTCATGGAAGTGAAATTGGAAAAGGAGGCTAATCAATTTGATTAGTTCTCTTGCTAATGTTCGTCACCACTACAGTAATGAGTCGATGTATTCTCACCAACCATATTCAGCTTTAAGCATTTTCCTGTACAATTTGCAATGGCCTTTGAAGTTTGAACAAAATTAAACTAAAGATATTAGGGGAAAAACTCAGAATCGCCAAAGGCCTTAATCAAGAAACACACATTAAATACAAAACATACTTACACACATTAATTGAATATAGCTACAAAGTAGAAACTATCAACATTACACAAATTTATCGGTTCTTTTAGTATCCCTAATTCTTGGAACAACAACCAACAAGACAACACTCAAAACAAAACCAGTTCCAAAACCAGTCCATACAGGCAAACCAATCATAGTCTCTTCCTCCTCCTCATCCTCCTCAGATTCTTGTTTTTCCAACAGATCTTCAACTTCACGACAGTTTAAAACAAATTCACCACATAAACCCGGGTTCCCTTCAAAGCTAGAGCTTGAAAAGGTCGAAAATTGTCCTCCAGAAGGAATAATCCCTGTAAGATTATTATAAGCGACACTAAACTTTGACAACATCCCCAATCTCACCAAAGAAACAGGTATCTCCCCACACAAATCATTATGAGACAAATCAATACTCTCAATGCTGCTCAAATTCGCTAAATTTTCTGGAATACTACCCGATAACTCGTTATATTTCAGATTCAAAATATGTAAGTTTTTCAGATTCCCAAACTCCGGTGAGATTTCTCCCGTCAGAAAGTTGTTACTCAGATCTAAAGTTGGCGGGAATCGAATTCCGTAGCTGTAATATAAAACTTTCCCGTTCATGGCACGCCTCATAAATATAGGGAAGTCGAGGGAAACTTCTAACGAAATGTTACGGGATCGGAGACCCGGTAATTGAGTTAGGGTTTTTGGAATCTTTCCATCTAAAAAGTTGTTTGATAAATCAAGGTAAACGATAGATGATAAGTTTCCTAAAAAGGGTGGAATTGGTCCGTTTAATTGGTTCCATGACAAATCCAAGATCCTGAGTTTTGTTAATCCGTTTAACCAATTGGGGATTTTACCGGTGAGTTTGCAGTTTGGGATCACGAGGGTTTTGAGCGATTTGAATTGTAGATTGGAATCAGATGGGATTTCTTCATTGTCAAAGCTTCCACCAAGGACTAAGGTGGTTAGATTCGGGCAATGTTGAAGAACATTTAGGGAACCAGAGAGGTTGTTCAAGTTGCACATTGAGAGCGAAAGATAAGATAACGATTCGAATCTTTTGAAGGTTTCTGGGATTTGTCCAGTGAGATTGTTCCCACCAAGATCAATCATTTTTAATTTTGGGCAGGCGGGAAGATTATCAGGAATGGTGCCCAGGAATTTGTTATCAGCTAAATCAAGAAACGTAAGGCTTATCATTGCTGAGCAGTTTATATCGATTGCACCAATGAGCGAATTGTTTCTTAAGATAAGCGAAGAAATGCTTCCGGAATTCAACAATGACGGGGGTATCCTACCAAAAAGATTGTTCGAATGAGCAGCGAAATAGCTTAAATTCGGAAATGTATGAAAAAAATCAGGTAGATTTCCTGAAATTTGATTCAAGGAAACATCGAAGTAAACAAGATTTGAAGGATTAGTATTGTGTAGCTGACCGATTATATTGTTATCTTGGAGAGATAATCGAAGCAGTCTCGGTAACTTGAACAGATATTCTGGTATGATCCCAGAAACGAGATTTGCATCTAGGCAAAGATGTTCTAAGGAACTGCAATTCTCAAATTCTAGTGGGATCTCGCCATTAAAGTAATTCACCCCTAATTTAAGCTCCTTAACTCCAGTGGAGTTGATGCACAAGCCTGGTGCGATTGGACCTTCGAGGTTATTATCAGAAAGGTCTAACAATTGGATCGAAGGTAAGTTTACGCTTGATGGGAACGATCCAGAAAACTCATTGGCACTCAGATCGAGAATTTCCAAATGAGGCAAGTGAAAGAGTGAAGTGGGAAGATTGCCTTTGAGTAGATTACGAGAGAGATTTAGGGTTCTAAGTTGGTTTAAACTAGCCAGTGAATCAGCCAAAGCACCGACTAATCTTTTTCGTGACAGTTCCAATCTGATAACCTTACCTGAGAAATCGCAAGTAATACCATCCCAATCACAACAATTGGAAGAATTCGAGGTCCATCCATCAATGGCGGTTTCCATTCCGTTCATGAAACGCTTCAATACCATGGAATCATTGGAATTGCAGGTGGAATTGAGCTGAGCTTCTACCGAAATCCCGAAAACTATGACAGTCACACATAACCCAAAGACATTCATCTCCAAGATTACAACAAGAATATTTCAATGAAATCAATCTGAACAGATGGATCACATCCCATCACCCAAAGAAAAAGAGCAATCAATATTTGATTTTCGCAGGGTAGAAAAACTTCAAAGTGTGGGACTTATGGAATTCGTCGAAGCTAGGCATCAGAAAGGAGCTGCAAATAGTGTGCGTTTGACAGTTGCAGAAACAGAGGGGCTGCTTTCTGTCAATGGAGGTCAAATTCATGGGGAATTGAGAATCTAATCTTCTTGGAGTATGCAACCAGTGCTCTTTTTGTATTAACTCGACATTCATATATGCTAAACACGTGAATCATCCTCGAAAACAACATGGAAATATTAAAATAAGTGAGGCTAACTATAAAAGAGAGTGTTATTATTCTGAATGGTGATTTAAATAAGCCTAGGAACGTTAAACAATAACTTGACTAAAAAACGAAAGTAACGTGGTGAGTATATCAGCTAGTCGTCAGTTGTGTACATTTGAATATTGATTTCTACTATGATGTAACCACATATCACAATTTAACCACTAAATGCCTAAATCCCACCAAATATACCATGCATTTGGTGCAATATATAAATATTTTAAGTATCTAATAAATAATAAAAAGAAAATGCTTTTGAATAATAAAAATGATAACCCTGATAATAAATAAAAAGCAATAATTTGCTAATAACAATAATAACTTAAAAAGAAGAAAATTAAAAGATAAAAAATATCATCATTGTTTTTAGAAACTAATTTTTCAGAATATCTTAAAGTTGTTAAGTAACCGATTTTATATTTTATTCGGTAACAAATTCATTTTTATGTATAGTTATCCGTTATCTTAGTATAAATCTTTTTTTTTTCTTTTAATTTTACACTTTTTAGCTAAGATTTTAAAATTTATTACAATTTGGTATGAATTTAAAATTTTGTTACAAAACCTCCCGAAATTTAGTTTTTTTTTTTTTTTTTAATTTATTTCTCTACAACTATTTTTTAATATTTTTTTATAATGGTTTATAAGAACTTTTTGTCATCTTTTTTCCAAATATTTTTTAAAATTATTTTATAATATTTTCTTATCTTTTTCTTTAACTTTCACTGACTCATATAAATTATCAATCAATTTTTTCTCGTTGATTATGCAGCACTTGGATTTGATGAATTTAAAAATATGATTCAAATTAGATGAAATAATAAATCAATAATTAATCATTGTTTTAGTATTTCCTCTAATTTTAAATCGAATTTTTTATTTCGTCAAATCCAAATGTGACATAACTATCGAGAAAATTAGTTTGTTAATGTATATGATGCAATTCAAAAGTTGAAAAAAGAATAAGAAAATGATGTAAATAAAAATTTAAAAATTTGGAAAAAAAAAATTAAGAAAAAAATCTTATAAAATGTCTTAGAAAGAAAAATAAATTTTTATGGTCAATTTGTAACAAAAATTTAAATTCTAACCAAATTTGTAATAAAAATTAAAATTTTGGTGAAAGTGTAAAATTTAAAAGAGAGTGAAATATTTAACTCGAGCGTCGAAATAACAGATAGTCATACAGAAAACATGAGTTTGTTATTCTTTAAAATATAAAATTATATTCAAGTATAAAATTGTGGTGTAATTGGCTATAACACATGAATGTTTCGTTTTTGGGTTCCTATTCGAAAAATCTAACAAAAAAGAATAAGAATGAATATGAATGACTAACTATAATCATTTTCTTCCAATAAAGCTAAAATAGTATTAGGTTTGTGCTTTCTACAACTCTCATTTATACTAATAATACTATTCAAATACTTTAACACAATATGATTCTAAACTATTAACTGATCCTTGACTTAATAAGCATACATGACACCCAATTTCTTTAGCAATGAATCTTTCAAACTCTCTGTTGCAACCTCTTTTCCTTTTACCTTCACAAACAGATCAAATAGTGTCACTTATGACTTAATAAGAAACAAACTAATTTGCTTCCAAAATTTTCCATCTTAATTCTTACCTCTACTTTCAGAATGTTCAAGACTTGGCCATTACAAGTGGTGACGTGGACATCAACTACTTCAAGTCTCAACGAATCAACAATCTCCATAGTCCTCGAAAACCCCCCCTCATTTTTTACCACAAACAATTTTAACCAAAAACTCTTTAGCCCTAATTTGATGTACTTCCACTTTAACCTTCATAAAAACAAGAGGATTAATTAGGGCATCTAACCCAATATATCCATAAACAAATAATATTTAAACAAGCATTATTCACCTCGGTTTTAGTATGCCCTTTTTTAACAGATGAGGGTTGATTTGCTCTTTTCTGTTTGCAGATCTCTACTTCGTCTTCGTGAGATTTTAAATCATCTTCTTCTAATCCTTTAAGTTTATCTTCAAGTTCTTGAACTTTCTTTTGCAACTCTTTTATATACTCGATTGCCACAAAAACATAAAATAAATTTAAAAAATTACTGATCATCCTGTCTTATATCAGTTTATTACCGTAAAAATGGCTATATAATAGTGTTTAACTGGTATGTTTTAAAGATCACTATACTACTCAGATCAAATAATCATTTTCTTAAAGGTAAACATAATCAGGTAGCTTCGTATTTAATTCTGGAATCAGATCTATTATATGCGAGTATTTTTTATCAATTTCATGATTTGATTATTTTATTTCCAATTTCAGTATTGGGAAACAGTTGGAGTAAGACTGGAGGAAAGAGAGGTTCTTATCCCTTTCCAAACACTGAATTTAGTCAAAGAAAGCCAGACACCATGAATCCCCCATCCCCTCTTTCCATCTTACTTCCTGTTTCAAGCTTCAACTCATCTTCCTCTATAAAACTATCATCTTCCACTTTCATCCCCTCACACACTCACCTCAAAAACATCAGACCACTGGAAAGCAATCTGGGGCATCAACGAGGTGAAATCAGATATATATTTTTATAATTAACTATGTCAAGTTGTATTGATGAAAGCATCACAATCCGAGAAGTATGGTCTGATAACCTAGAATCCGAGTTTGATTTAATCAGATCTGTTATCGATCAATTCCCTTACATCTCCATGGACACAGAGTTCCCTGGCGTTGTATACCGTCAATCGTCGGAGCCTGGAAGATCGTACAGGCATCGCCAGCCATCGGAGCACTACAAGCTTCTAAAGTCAAACGTCGACGCTTTGAACCTCATCCAACTAGGTCTCACCCTCTCCGACGCTTCCGGCAACCTTCCACAAATAGACGGGACTCACCAACGCTTCATCTGGCAATTCAATTTCAACGATTTTGATCTCACGCGTGACGCCTACGCGCCGGAATCGATTGACTTGTTGAAACGTCAAGGGATTGATTTTGAACGGAACCGGGTAAACGGAATCGACTCTTTCAATTTCGCTGAGTTGATGATGTCATCGGGTCTGGTTTGCAATGACTCAGTTAGCTGGGTGACGTTTCACAGCGCGTACGATTTCGGGTACTTGTTGAAGATTCTCACGCGCCGCCTTCTGCCGAGTGAGTTGCCGGAGTTTATGGAGGCTGTGAAGGTGTTCTTTGGGGACAACGTGTACGACGTGAAACACTTGATGAAGTTCTGTCGGAACGGGTTGTACGGTGGGTTGGATCGGGTGGCGAGACTTTTAGAAGTGAACCGGGTTGTTGGGAAGTGCCATCAGGCCGGTTCGGATAGCTTGTTGACGTGGCACGCCTTTCAAAAGATGAGAGACGTATACTTTGTCGACGTCGGACTGGAAATGTATGCCGGCGTCTTGTATGGTTTAGAAGCTAACTAAAAAATATTACTTACGGTCAAATCGGTAAATTAGCTTATCAGAATTTAATTCATTTTTTTCATGTTTATGTCTACACTTAGCTTTTTATACTCTTTTGTGTAAATATTTAGACAAATTATAAGTAATTATTTAAATTAACTAGTTACTAGTAACCTAAAATGGACAAATACCATTACCATATTTCATACTTTACCATACAACTAGTCAATTACACACCTGATAGTTTCCTAAACATTAGAAATTTATTTAATAATAATAAGTCAAATACCATTATAACAAACTTCACTATAGCAGCAGCAATTAGCATACACACCCACAAAACCTTCAACACAGATTATTATTTATGAAGCTTTATAACAAACATCTCCATCACACACCCACCCCTCCGGATTCCCTTTCTCTTCCACAACCTCCTTCCCATTACCACTTTCTTTAAAAACACATTCAGGATGAAGATCAAAATTACACTCTTCACAACTATACCCCCAAACTTTCCCTTCTCCATCACACCCATCACACCTATACCCTCGCGACCTAGTCAAAACAAGCTCATGCTCTTCATGCAGCCCGTTCTTCACTTTATCCGGCCACCCTTTTGCCATGTCAGCAAACTTAGCTTCAATCTCAGCCATCCGTTCGTCTGTAAAAGGAAACGCATCAGCACCATGAGCCATAATAAGACCCCGAGCCTCGGTCGTAACCGTCTTCCCGGTGGGCCCTAAAGCCGCCAACAACGGAATCCCATTAACCTTAAAAAGACGGCTCAATGATTGCTTCCTCTTGTCCCCAAACGGAAGCGCCAACCATGGCATAGTACCATAGTATTCATCAAACGAATCTTGGTCTCTATCACTCGAGATGAAAATAACTTCAAAATTATCATGTTTTTTCTTGATTTCATGATATGTTTCCACAAGTTTTGGAGTGAAAGCACGACAAGGCGGACACCAGTGTGCCGAGAAATACAACAGTACATGCTTCCCCACCAGATCAGATACGTGCACCTTCACGTTATCTTTCCCGATTACATAATCAAGATCTCCGGAAACCAAAACCGATTCCAGAGTTTGTGATTCCCGTTTGGCGTTCTCGATCTTTTCAAGCTCGGAGAATTTATCGGGTGTGAAAGGGTACGCGTTAATACCGTGCTCTTCAATGGCATCAGCCACATTTGGGTGAAGGGTTTGACCATCTTGACCGATAATGACTAAAGTGGGAAGTGTGGAGAGCTCGAAGTATCGAACCAGTTTTTCGCATTTTTTGTCTTTAAATGGAAGTGAAAACCATGGGATATTAGCAACTTCTTTCTTGAAAGATTCTTCATTGTCATCAAGGGGGATCATCACAATCTCAAAGTTTTCTTGTTTTGATTTCAATTCGTTGTATACTTTGATGAGTGTGGGAGTGAAATCAGCTGATTTCTTGAATGATGACAGTATGAAGTACAAACCGACTGTTTTCCCTTCAAGATCGGTGATATTTACCTTTTTGCCATTGGCTGAGATGACATAGTCACGCGAGGGAGACTCGAGGATGGACTTTAAAGACTGATTCTTTCTAGCTTCTTCTTCTTCATCTTTAATCTCCTTGAGCCGTTCTGGTGTAAATGGGTAGGCCTCTGCTCCATATTCGGCGATGATTTCAACCCCACGATCAGTCAAAAATTTCCCGTTTTCATCAAGGAACACTAGATGAGGGATTCCATTGACTTTAAAAGATTTGTCTAGAGATTCTCGTGTTTTGGAATCAGAGAACGGAACTGCAAGCCATGGCATTTTGGAGAAATAACCATTGAAGGATTCAAGATCTTCATCAGCTGAGATGAATATGATCTCTAAATCACCTTTTGAAATAAGTTCGTTGTATACTTCGACTAGGTTTGGAGTAAACCTTTGACATGGGCCGCACCAGGATGCAGAAAAATATAAGCCCCGCTTTTTACCATTCAAGGTGTCGATTGCAACCTGACAATTCAAACATTTAGCAATAAAACACTCAATTTTAAGTTTTGTGTAACCGCTTCATACAGACATCTCAATCCAAGTATAACGAAGATGTAAGGGAGCTATCACCTAAGGTCCCAATTTTGGTGTTAAGAATTGTGAGAACTACAGATCCGTGAACACAATCCGTTTATAGCCTAGAGCTTATCATAAACCCTAATACTAGACAAGTAACTCGTTCTCCGATCAAAATTATCACTCTCCGAAGTTAATCTCTATATGGATATATGGAATTGACAACAAAATTATCATCAGATCCTTTTGATATCTAGTAGAAATCGACCTAGGTAAACGAGTTCCAGAAAGGTTCTCAAATTAATCCCAATTCAAAAGTTAAAACCTAGTGCACTTTTTCATATTTACAGCCCTTTTCCAGGAATACCTAATTTCGTTAGCACTAACTACAACAAAATTGAATAATCACACGAACGATCGAAGAACAAAAACATTGTGACTGCCAACAGTTGCGATCCAGATAAAGGAATAAAGGACTGAGCTAAAAGGAGGAAGAAGACTGGATACCTGATCACCGTTGTTGCGAACAAGATAATCTGTTTCGGTGGAAGTAAGGATCGACTTAATATCGTGAACATCAACTTCAACAGTATCCGCCATTGTTTAAGCACCAAAGAAATCAGAATGTAGAGATGTCGTTAACAATGCGAGCTTTTATAACAAGTGTTCGGTGGTTCTGGAAATTCTTGGATGCCACGTAAATAAACGACACCGCATGGGCTACGTCATTATGTACGTCATTTATGGAACGTCATATATATATATATATATATATATATATATATATATATATATATATATATATATATATATATATATATATATATATATATATATTACCTTATAAAATATTTTTGGTTAAATTCTGAATTTTGAATTTTAAGTCGTACAAATATACAATGCATTTGTACAATCAATTTATGCATTACAAAAATAATAGAGTACATATGGTCAACAGTTGAAAATGTCAAATCTCTTATCCCCTATTATTAGGTTATTTTGACCTGGTTCTTTCCTTATCTCTGTATTTCCCCAAATCGCATAATTTCTGTTCACAAATCTTGGATATATCGCTGACGTTTCCATTTATAGGATTTAATTCATCTTTCAGCATTCAACCACCATTGTCACACCTGTCACTTGGCACGGGTAAACGGCTACTATATATATATATATATATATATATATATATATATATATATATATATATATATATATATATATATATATATATATATATATATGTGGAGCATTTTTGTGAATTTTTTTAGAAGAATAGGAATGGGCAACGTGAACGTGCATTACTCCGACGTGGCACGACAAAAGCGGCGTTATAATGGCGGCTACACCGCTCTGGGTTTATGTTTTTCAGCGTTAAGGGATTGCATGTTATGGTGATAACTGATGTTATATTAATAACGGCCTAAAGGAAGGAAACACTTGAATTGACTTGAATTTTAAGAGAACGGTCACATTTTTTATCCATTGCAAACGGTCACAAACTTAAATAATAATAATAATAATATTATTATTATTATTATTCCTTATTTATATCTACTATAAATACACAATATTTATCTCAATTTTACCTACAAAACTCAACAATTTCTTTCAAAAATTCACATTTATTTCGATTTCATTTTTTTCTAGTTTTCTATTTACTTAAAGAATAGAGCTTTTTAATCAGTTTCATCCATACAATGATGATATCCACGAGGATGATATGTTTGTGAGTATGATGTACCGACATATTATGGAAATGCTACCGCCAGAACCAACTCCATTACTGACCAGACATGCTGCGTTGAACAAAAATCATGAAAAATGATATAGAAGTCTAGTACACGTATATTTTGCGGATAATTGTGTCTATCAACCTAGTGATGTTAAAAAAATGTTTCGTTTGCAGAAAAATATGTTTCAACAGATAGTCAATGCAATGGAAAGCAGGGACCATAAATACACTTGTTTTAAAAGTTAAATATATGTTCTTTTGATTTTTATATAATTGTTTTTTAGATAACATAAGTATATCATTTTTACAAATTAAATATACGTTTAGATATGAATATTTCCAAAGAGGTATGATGCGAGAGCTAAACGAGGTTTTATTGGATTGCAAAAATATTTTACTGCAATCAAGCTTATGGCTATGGGGGATTTGTTCGATTCTATTGATGACTATATGAAAATGTCGTAGCAAACTGCACGAGAAAGTTTCTATAATTTGGCGAGAGGTGTTATCGAAACCTTCAGTGATAAATACTTGCGCAAACATTCATTGAATGACATGCAACAACTATATGCAACGCATGAAGAACGAAATGGTTTTCCAGGTATGTTTGATTGCATTGATTGCACAGAGTGGATATGAAGAAATTGTCATGTGGCGGGGAAAGGTCGATACACAAGTGGTCATCTTGGATCGCCTTCGTTGGTATTAGAGGTTGCTGCTTCACAAGCCTTATGGATTTTGCATGCTTTTTTCGGAGTTACAGGTTCCAACAATGATGTAAACGTTCTTGATCAATCATAAATATTTCATGACATTTTGTCAGGAAAGGAATTGGATGCTCCTTTTACGGTTAATGGAAACGAATATAAGTTTGGGTATTACCTCACAGATGGAATATATCCACCAAATTCCACGTTTGTGAAGGCGTTTCGGTACTCGCTAGAACCGAGAGACAAAATTTCCAAGAGAAGACAATAAGGAGCACGTAATGACATGGAACGTGCTTTCGGAGTTCTTAAATCAAAATGGAACATAGTATGAACATGCGACACAGCCACATCACTTGAACACTCTACGAGATATAATGTATGCATGTACCATAATGCATAACATGGTAGTTGAATATAAATGACGAAATATTGTGGAGCATTTGCCTACGGAACCTAGATACATTTAATTTCAACCAGGGACAACATAATACTTACATATAGTTGTTGACATTCAAAACCAACAAAAACACAAGCAAC